CGAGTTAATACAATGAAGGAGATTGCTTTACTCATCAGAAACTGAAAATATTATGTTATTTGAACTACATAAATTATTTAAGTTCATTAAACAAAAGAAAACCATGTTGTGATTACAAATCATGAACATATGTTTTTTACAGTGTGGTAGTAAATCTTTGCAAATGATCTGTATTTATGTGTCTAGGAACTCACAAAAATATTAATGAAACAATAACATCAATAAGCAATACATAAACAATAAAAATATGATTATTATTATTGTATTATCTTTGCAAATTATCAGTATATCTGGATTGGAAGACTTATTAATTCAATGCAAATTAATAAAATATAAAGAATACACATTATAGTTGCACTATATTGATATTTTATAGTGTTTTATTGGCACCACAAATAAAAAATACACAGATTCAATGACAAAGAAGGGATCACTTTAAACTAAGAATAAGAGTAAGATAGAAAGGTAATAAGTTTCGTCTGGCATGTAACAATCTGTAATGTGAAAACAAGCTTAAAATGGCCTAGTACATGATGGTTTCATCAATCATTAGGTTTTGTCTGTTAAAGCTGCAAAGTCCTCCTGATGCTAAGGACATTCAGTACCAACTCTCCATCACGCTTAAACCAGTTTACACTGTAAAATGAATATGCTTTATCTAATCAAAAAAATTGTGGCAACAGATTACAAGCAATATTATTAATTAAATGTAACAAATTAGAATTGAGTAATAATTAATCAAATTAATTCCTTAAAAGTTAACCATTTAAAATGAGTAAAACTTTCAACACCAACCAAAAACACATAAATTTAAGTCACCATTATGGTGATCGGTGTTTGTTTTATAATGACGATTTTCTCCTTCAGTGATTCTGCTTGTTAACATCAGGTGTCTTCAATGTTGCCAATATAAAATAAAGAGTTATTAATTAATCTTTGACGCCTGTCTGTTAGTGAGATATTTTTGTTAAATATTTTGGTGTAAACTTTACTCATTTTAAATGGTTAACTTTTAAGGAAATATTTTCATTAATTATTACTCAATTCTAATTTTTTAAATTTAATTAATAATAATGCTTGTAATCTGTTGCCACAGTTCTATTGATTAGATAAAGCATATTCACTTTTACAGTATCGATGGTCTCCCAGCTGGGCTAAGCTGGTGTTCGACTGGTTTTAACTGGTCTTTTAAGAAAGTGTCTGAAACCGCTCAGGCTGACTGGATTGGCCAAACGCAGGCATCTCTACCCCCTCTGACACTGGATATTATAATTAACCGACTATCATTCTGTAATTCTGATCGATTAGTACGCCACGACATTTTGTGTCAGCTGTGTTTAACTGCAAACAAGACAAAACAAAAATATATTTAGCATTTGTCCTCCAGCAGTTTTGGTGCTCAGTTCATGGGTCAATGAATAACTGGTCTGAGGAGTTTATCATTGGTTGCGTCACTGCATCATTGCGGAACGCCTCCGTTTCACTGCTCAAATATGTTAATAAGCGATTAAAGCGACTGTCCGTTTCTTTCATTATCATGTAAACTACACCTACGCCGGACGACAGGTTGCACCGAAAGGCCTACAAATCTACACAGTACACAAAGTAAGACAAGATGCAAGACCTCCATCTCCAAACTAGCCGAAACTTGAGAATGATGTTATTTATTGACCGTTACCTAGGCTTCCAAATGCAACCCTGTTGCTAGGGAACAACCTTTCACAGCAACAAAAGGTTTCCTTTATCCTCGGTGAACGAGCCTGAAAGAATACCTCAGCAGTGCAGTCTGAGGACAGCAATCAGAGCCATCCCGGCTCGGTTTAAAGATGAAACCCTCATATCCAGGCTATAACGGAAGGCCTGTGCTGGACGATGCTCTTTAAGGACGAGACACAGTAAACAACATTGAACTCTCATGCTTTTTGCACTATTGCACTCCGATTTGGAGCAATTTGCAGCATATCTATAAAACGGCCATTTGCACGTCAAGTTAAAGGAGTAGTTCACTTTAAAAAAAAAAAAAAACTTTTGCTGATAATTATCATCCATCGATCCATGTCATCCAAGATGTACACGTCTTCGAAAAGAAATTAAGGTTTTTGATGAAAACATTCCAGGATTTTCTCCATATAATGGACTTCAATAGGAACCAAACGGTTTAAGGTCCAAATGAGACTTTTTATGACTTTAAATGACACCAGACAATGAATAAGGGTCTTATCAAGCGAAACGATCACTCATTTAAAAAATAAATAAAAAAGTTTAAGTTTTATAAGCTCAAATGCTCGCCTGGCTCTGTTCTGTTCTGTGATGCGCGTTCGTGACTCTCCTGTTAATCAAAATGAGCAAATCTTTTTTCGAGTCATTTCATCTATTTTGTTTGCTGAATGAACCAAATGACTCGAAAAAAGATTTGTTCATTTTGATGGCCCTTATTCATGGAGAAGAAGTGAAGGAACAGGTTTCCTGGAGGATGATTCTCGGAGGTTTGTTGTGTTGCTCCATTGATTTGGTTACTGTGGGCGCAAACATTAGTCCAGTAATCTGTGTATTAATAAACACCATTACTGAGGCAAAAAGTTCTTGGATTCCCAAAGTAACATTTCATTGAATAATTAACCTTTTTTTCAGGTTCCATGGATATTAAATAACCTCGAATGTCAATAACCTTTATTTGAGTGTACTGACAGGTCTGTGATTCATCCTCATTGTAATATACAGTCTCGTCAACATTTGAAGGATCAAAACCTTTCATCAAAGTTATGCATGAATTTTGAACAATACCCGTTCTTGTCTTTATTCACTCTAAAAAATGCTGGGTTATTTTAACCCAATTTTGGCTAAAATATGGACAAACCCAGCCATTGGGTTACATTTTTAAATTACATTTTTAACCCAATGGCTGGATTTGTCCATATTTTACCCAAAATTGGGTTAAAACAACCCACCATTTTTTAGAGTGTTTGATTAACTTTTTTGATCCATGTCAAATTTTGACTGTCGATAAATAAATCAAAAAAATAAATAACCACTGTTTGATGCTTTAAAGTTTTTATCAACCTGTTAATCAATTAAGGAAACTATTGCAATGCATTGCCAAAAAAAACTTAAATAAAGAAAAAGTATATTTAGACTTTATGTAGTAATATCAGTGTACTAGAAGTGTAAATGTACTTTTTTAATATAACTTGGGCACACTTTTATAAAGTATACTTTTAAACGTTGACTACTTTCCAAGTTTTGGTTTGTAAAGCAAAACGTTTGTAAAGCTTTTAGTTTACTATAATACTTTTTAAGTTTATGCAGTCAGTACTAGTTTAGTAGTTTTTTTTACTGCAAGTATATGCCTACTTGTACATTTTTTTTTAGCGTCACATTTGATAATAGCCATATTTTCTGTATTATTTTTGCACTTTAAGTACTATTTTCCTATTTCGGTGTTTAATGTTTGATGATCGCGTTTTTTGCAACGTTCAATCTCTTGTTTCTTGTGAAAACGTATTTAAAATGCTATCCAATCAGAAGAGTAAACATAACTATGAGCCATGTACACTTAGCCTAATTATACTTTTAAGGACATATCGATCAAAAGATTACAGGACAAACACACTTAGACTTTTCTCAGTATAAGTCAAGTTTACTTAAGTGCAATTTTAAATATATTTCTCAGAAGTATTTCTTATTTTAGGTTTAAAAGACTGTCACACTTGACTAAACTTCTTTTTCGTAAGGGTTTATTTATTCCAGCCCATTCTCATCCTAAGGCGTCACATACACTTTTGCCAAAGCGTATACATCCAACGCACAAGCCAGCCTTTAGCGTCAATATAAGACGCAGATATATATGGTCCAGAAGGCGCCTCCTAGTGGTCTAACCCTAACCGTAGCCCAAGACCTAAACCTACCCATAACCGAAGTGTGATATATTGACTGTAAAGGGTGCCATGTGCGTTGGATAGCCTACATCTGCCAATGCTAGTTTAACCACATGCAATAATGGCCTCACTTGTTTTACGAATTAAACCCGCTATGTGATGAAAATGAGCTTGTGTTTTCAAGCACTGACTGTAGCTAAATTACATTTTCTAAACTGGCTTTACATTCTCTACTTTCAAAAGGTGAAGTTTACTTTCTAAATGCGTGTGATGCGTCGCTCAGAAAGACCCTGCAGTATTTCTGTCATGATGGAAGTTCTGGTGTGTTTGACGAGAAAATAAACAAGTAAATGTATGTGAAAGGAGGATCTAATCTCAGGACAGGAGAACACACCGCCATATGGACACGTCACACAAGATCTGCCTGTTTAATATTGCATGCATTTGGGTCTGTACTATCTCGAGATTATCAGGTCACATGACATCACTCCTCATTAATAGTCGGCATGTGATGCATTTCTGTGTTATCGTTATAAAAGTTTACATTATAAACTTTGCGGTTTGTGTTACTTACTTACTTACTTACTTACTTACTTTAGTTGGTTGCACCAACTTTGTTTCCACGCGTTTCCACGGACACAAAGTTACAACACATAAACAACACAACGCATAACGTGTGTTTGTTTTTACAGGAACTCCAGATGCTAGTTAACTGTAATCCGCAGCAGTGATGATGTGTGAAGATGTGCCCGAGATGGTGCAGATCAGAAGAGTGAATGTCTCCATCTCTTGGTGACTGTTAGAATTGTGTGTGAAACGTCTGTGTGAAATATATTGTGTGTGATGAACTGACAAAAAAAAAAAAACCTTAAAGCTTTAGTTTATTTTCAATTTTTGGTATATAATTTTAGCTGTTTTTAGCATTCAAAGCGTACCGATGTTGATGACATATGGCGTATGCATAGTAGGAGAAGGTCAGGAAACATTTCCAATGCTTTCTCAAACTGTGCATTGTGTTTCATTTTTTTTTTCAATTCTATGATGGAAATAACAATAACAATAATATAACTTCATAGCTAGCATTTCAAGCACCGTAAAAAGACAGAATTCACAATGTTGCCATAATTTGGAGAAATTAAATCTTTATTGAAAGTAAAACATAATAATGATATTCACTTCACACTGGCTATTAATAATAGGCCTAAGCTTTATTCTGAGCAAAGCTGTATGGAATTAAAATAATACAAATGTTTTTGAAATAAAAAAGCTTGTTTTCATTTGTTTGTATATCCGTTTTTATGAATGAATGACTCTCTCACCCGTTGCTTGCTCTAGTAGTGGTAATGATCAACAGCCGTTTGCGCCCCCTGCTGGTGAGACTAACAGCTCTCAATCGGCAATCTACTGATATTCCTGCCGTTCTAATGCTGAATTTTCTGTCGAACTTTTTGAACCGCTGAATTGAAAATTAAATAAAATCGAACTAAAACTTGTCTGCCGAATTTTATAGGTTGTATTTTTAAATAGAATGAATACTATTTTGGAGTTGAAATCTAAAAGGTGAATATGGATTATTGATTTTTTTTTAATGTGTTTGAAATGCTTTGAATTGAAATATTCACTGTTTAAATAGCTACAGCCATGTTTAATTTCAGCCCATAAAAACGCAAGCCCTAAAAATGCAATGCATTATTTTTTCAAATAGTGCAATTCGACAAGCTTTTTTTTATTGCAAAAACATTTGTCATTTGGCACAGGCGCAGTTAATGACAAATATGTAAAAAAAAAAATATTCAAATGATTTTTTTCACTCTTTGTTCAGATCATAGCATTTCAACATGTAGTAATATAGGCTAAATCTTTTTTATTTATTTATTTTTTGGCTTGAAACAAAAAATATGTATTTTCTTGCCTATACTGTGACTATCTGAGTGAAACACTTCTGGAACAAGATAATTATGAAATCACATGAAAGCAGCAAAAATCCTGCATGCATGATGACATTCACTCAATTCCCTTTTGAAGAAACAACAATAATGTCCCAAAGAGGAACAACACAATTAATTTTGATTAAACCCCTTTGCTGAAATGCAGTATAACGTCTGAGCTCAACACACTGTGAGAAAACACTCAGGTCGTCTAGTTTTGAAGGATCACTACTGGATGGATATAGTTGCATTAACGCAGGCAATCTGGAAGCCGTCTTGGTTTATTGCATGTAGATTAAGATGAAAATTACCCTGTGGATTATACATAATTCAATCAAGACATTTCAGTTCCATGCTCACAGAAGACAAAAGCATAGACGTTTAACTCTCAGGTGCTCTTCGTTTCAGAGTCACACTTGTTATCTTCCCGGTCAAAAGTGACCGGACACCTAAAAATGAAACTTTCTCCATTTCAGTAAAACCAATGCAATTTATTTTTGTTCTATAATATTTATTCTTTTTATATAAATATTATTCTTGAGACAATTTAATTGAATTTTTTAAATATTTATGCAATATTTATGGTTTATTTTTGCCATGGAAAAATATATATATTTTTCTATATATATATATATATATTATTTTTTTTTCCAAAAAATATAAATGCAGTATTTTAGTTTAATATAGAGTCTAGGCCTTCAGAAAAAAATATTTTTTGAAGAAAATTAGCACCATCTGGTTAAAGTATAGAGAAAAGGCGTAGAATCATGGTGTAACCACTAGATGGCATGTACAGCTCTCTATTGAGAGGCATGTGAATTCCCCAGCTGTTTATGAACACATTTTTGTTGTTGTTGGTGGTGGATTTGAATATATAGTTGAAACAATCTCAAAAACTATTTCTTATAAAAAAAAAATTAACAAAAAACAAATTCAACAAACAATTTTTTTTTTTTTTTTTACAATTTCCCATTCATTTCCTATGGGGGTCATTTTTGACCAAAGACCACAAGTGTGACTATTTTTTTTAAGACCACTTAGCATGCTCAGATCATGACCTCAATTTTTTTGTGTGTTCACATACATAATGTCATAAAAGTCACGAAGTTTCGTAACATTACGATGAAGCTGAGATTTTTTAAAATTCAAAACATACTTTTTGTAATCAAAATTTATTGGTGTGTATGTGTATAAAAATGTGTTTGTATGTGTGTGTGTGTTGGTGGGTGTGTCTGTTTTGGACTCTAGATGTTGTAAAGTGTCACCCCTTTCCTGCGGTGTACTTTTTTTTTTTAGAATTGTGGCTGATTTGTCGATTGTACATACAAAAATTCAGAGAATTTTCATTAATTTCCTATGGGTCGGTCATTTTTGACAGAAGAGCAAAAGTGTGACTCATTTTTTACGACCACTTAAATTGCTCGAATCATGACCTCACTTTTTTTGTGTGTTCACATACCCAATGCCATAAAAGTCACCAAGTTTCGTAATTTTCTGAAGAAGCTGTGATTTTTAAATATTCAAAACAGATTTCTTTAATCACAATTTATTGGTGTTTTTGTGTATAAAAGTGTGTGTGTATGTGTGTGCGTAGGGGTGGGTATGTCTCTTTTGCACTCTTGATGTTTTAGAGTGTCACCCCTTCAATGCTAAGCACTTTTTTTCTGCATCGTGGCCGATTTGTAGATTGTACACACAAAAATTCTCAAAGTTTTTGTGTTTTTGTCAATTTCCCATTCATTTCCTATGGTCGGTCATTTTTGACCGAAGAGCACAAGTGTGACTATTTTTTTCACGACCACTTAGCCTGCTCGGATCATGACCTCAATTTTTTTTGGTGTTCACATACCCAATGCCATAAAAGTCACCAAGTTTCGTAACATTCCGACGAAGCTGTGATTTTTAAAAATTTCAAAACAGAAAATTTCTTCGGTCAGAAATGACCGAAGAGCACCTGAGGGTTAAATGAAGTGCAAAAAACAAACCTTTAGAGGAAGGTCTAGTTTTGACTGAAAGGATGAATCTATGGTGACGAGCTCTGGAGAAATGAAAATTAAATACATTTTTCCTAATAAATTCATATTGCATTCAATATACATATCATAAACTTGACAAATATTGCCCACCTCCTTTCATGCTTCCACAAAAAGTGAACCGTGGGAAATGAGGAAGACAGAGCGGATCTTCCCGACTCAATACATGGGTGTCTTCTAGCAGAAGCTCAAGTGATGAATAAAGCTCATAGATGGACTGTCCTGTAAGAGAACACACAGCTACTGCTGCAAGGCTTGCTTTCATTCATCTCAAATGATAATATTAATAAAGATGAAAATCTTACTCAGAACAAGGGCCAATCTGATTTTTATAGGACCGATCAATCTGTTAGGGCAAGGCAGGAAAGTGAAACCGACATCCTGTAAAGGGTCTGAAACAGTGAAATCAGGGGGGGAAAAAAGGCAATTTGAGGGGATTGAATTGAACATAATAAATCATTAGTTGATGTAAATGATTGACATCTCTCAATCAAAATGTGAATATGAATTCATACACCAATTCAAAAGTTTGGGATCAGTGAGATTTATTATCACCAAGGCTGCATTTCATTGATCAAAAATTCATTAAATACAGTAAAAATGTGAAATATTATTACAATTTAAAAGAGCGGTTTTCTATGTGATTATACCGTAAAATGTAATTTATTCCTTTTATTCCAAAACTGATTTTTCAGCACAGCGTCACACGATCCTTCAGAAATCACTCTAATATGATGATTTTGATGCTCAAGAAACATTTCTGATTATTATCAATGCTGAAAACAGTTACAGAGTTAAAAGTGAAAACAGTTTCAGAGTTATTTTGACCAATATAGTTCAAAAGCACGGCATTTATTTGAAATAGAAATCATTTGTAACATTACTTTAGTGTAACTTCTGATCAATTTAATGCATTCATGCTAGTAATGTGTGTGTGACTCTGATCTCACCGCAGCTTCTGTAGGTCACCGTGAGTCTGTCTGAGCTGCACACTGTGTGAAGAGGCCATTGGTGATCCTGAGAGTAAACCCAATTCATCTGAACAATACTCAGAATCAGAACCAACAACACATTATCGCACAGATGTAACTTCATAGCCTTTCAGTTGCTTTAGACCCAGAATCTGACTAACTCCTCGTGAATTGTAGGTGAAATACGCGGAACGAGGCAACTTAACTTCTCATTTGTGTCAAATGATAATGGCAGCGTGTCACGAGTTTCACTTCCCCGTACTCAATAACAAGGTGACCTCATAGACACTTCCTGAATATATATTTTATTATTTTTTTAAGAATTATTTGGATATTTTGACACGACTGGAGTGTAGCCGAAAGTAGAGCGAATGTGTATTTTCCAACATGATAATGATTCAAAACTGTCTTCAACTACTCAGTCCCCTGATGAAAACATGTGACACGTCATGCATGTCTTCCAATGAAGCTCAACTTTGGAAAGAACTCACGGAGGATTGGAAAGAAATGCATGAACCATGCCCAGCAGGAGAACGGCTGCTGTAATCAAAAACACAACCAAAATATTAATAACTGATTACACAATAGTCAATGTATGATTTTTCCCTTGAGACTTTTGTGTTCTATGCCTTTTTTTGCATAATAAAATAAAACACATATTTAATTACATGCTGGAGTTTGCTTCTCTTATCAAATTATGTTGTCATTTTAACCTTACACTCTCAGAAAAAAGGTACAAAAGTTATCACTGGGGCTGTAACTTTTCAAAAGGTAAACTTTTGTCCATTTCATGAGCTAATAAGTACATTTTAGGTGTTAATATGTACATTTTGGGTGCTAATATGAACATTTTAAGTGTTAATTATGAACATTTTAAGTATTAATATGTACATTTAAGTGTTAATATGTACATTTTAGGTGGTAATATGTCCATTTCAGGAGCCAATATGTAACTTTCATGAGCTAATATGTCCATTTTAGGTGGTAATATGTACATTTTAGGTACTAATATGTACATATAAAGTGTTAAAATGTATATTTTAGGTGTTAATATGTACCACTGAGGTACCAATAGGCAGCCTTTGGGTACAAAAGTGTACCTTTTGAAAAGGTACAGCCCCAGTGACAGCTTTTGTACCTTTTTTTTCTGAGAGTGCAACTCAATAAAACATAAACATTTAATGTAACCTTAAGTATCATTAAAAGCAATTACCGTGCAAATATCCTCTCTGGACATCACTTTTGGCCATTACTGTAGGCCCATCCATCCATTAAATCCACAATCAGGAATGTACGTATGTTGCTGTTCCAAAACACTTTCTTAAAGACCCCTTGCGGTGAAAATGAAGCCTTTAATTTTGTTTATGTAGTGTTTTTAATATGCTTTGAGTCAACACCCATTGCCGAGTATTTTCTCTTTTAAACTGCAGTGAACCAAAGACAGTCTCAAAAACAGGGTTTAAAATCGCTAACATCACAAACAACCTTGTAACCAATCAGATCAACGTGTGATCGTCAACCAGTGGATCTCTGAGCTGCTGTGAGTGAGTGAAGGCGGGGCATATTTATAGAAAGGAGTATACTAAATGAGGCAAGGTTTTTGAGTTACATTCAAGATATTTTAAGGCACGAAGAATTTTTTTTAAGGAGAAAGGGACTATTTTTTTAAGGGGTGGTATAATGCCCCCTTTTACAAGATGTAAAATAAGTCTCTGATGTCCCCATGTCTCTGATGTGTATGTAAAGTTTCAGCTCAAAATACCCCACAGATCATTTTTTATAGCATGTTAAAATTGAGGGTAAGTAAAAGCGCGTTGTTTTGTGTGTGTCACTTTAAATGCAAAAGAGCTGCTGCTCCCGGCACAGGGGGCGGAGCTTCAACAGCTGGTGTCCTTAGCAAGGGGGTAATCCATCGACCGGAAGTTGAAGCCTCGCGGGAGCTGCCATCTTGTAGCAGAACTTCACTTGCGTTAGCATTCCCATTGACTCCCATTCATTTTGGCGTCACTTTGACAGCGAATAACTTTACATCTGAGGCGTTTGAAGACCCCATTTGTCCTTTATTTATTTCTAAAGAAACACAACAATGTATAAAATGCTCCATTACCTTGCAGCTTATGTTATGGCCCCGTAAAAGCAGTTTTAGTGAAAGTAGGCTAACGATTGCGTTATACCCACGCGACTCTCTGTCGCACAGTAGAGAGATTACCGTATGGACAGGAGAAATAGCTTGCGCGCAATCGGGGAAACGTGGAGGCAAAATGACAAAATAATTAATCAGAATAGCTAGCAGAATTGTCTCCTTCTCCTAGCTCATGGACAGCTCCTATTCACACTCCCCGCCTCTGTGAGTTTAGGAAGGGAATGATTCAGATTTCTCATGCCACAGCACTCCAAGACAGACGGGTTGCTCTCATCACATTACGTAGTCAAGCTCTGGTTGAGTCTCCGCGTCAGGGACAGAAGTGCTAAAAAAATCGCCAAAAACGGGCTTCAATCGTCTCAATGGAGTTCCAATGAGATCGCTCTGTCCATTTCTTTTACTGTCTATGGTCCTTGGGAGCTTTCAGACACACACTACAATGTCAGAAACTGTTCTGCATTTTATGTTCAAATCGAAGTCGGACAATGATGGAGAGACTCAAGAAGTGACAACATGGATGCAACATGACGTTTCTGTTGGCTAGTTGATGACTTTATGTATGATGCGGAGTTAACTATTTTCAAGTAGTTAACCTTGAAGTGAAGTGAACCGGGAACACTTCCAATAAATCCTGATGTTCTCGTAACATCATAAGAATGGTGTCAACGCTAATATTAGTCTCTCTGTTTATCCCAAGGTTTCAATTCAAACATCTCATTTCAACATACTGTGCGTAAATCTTATCATTAACGCTTTGGAGAAATTTTCAAAAGACCTTAAATACGTTTATAGGGCTCACTTCATAACTTTTCTTCTCATAATTAAATATTGTAGGAATTTCTATAGTACATGAGTATTATAATCTCATCTACATGTTATTGACAGTCTGGAAGATGCTGCTGTCATCAAGAATCAGAAGCAGGGTCACAGAGTTGAATGTCGGACTGACCTGATCTTGGGGTCATCTTAACTTCGGACGCTCTGGTTCCATGGATGTGTTTTTCTCCAGTGGAAGAGGAAGTCCTGAGCCTTTATTAATCAGCATGAAGCTCTTCATGAGCACATCAGCCTGGAGCCTCCTCAGCTCAGCAGATCTCGTCTTCTATCACACACCGTAAGTTCAACACTTTTAATGACTAAACTCTTTAGCATTAATACAAAGTTGTGCTTTACCAAATGGGCAGTCTATAATGTCAGTAGATTTCTAACATTAAAATGATCTGTCCTCCAGACAAACATCAAGGCATCTTGTGTACATCATGTTACTACAACCCAACCCCAACTCAGCAAGCGGCCGTATTCCCTTGGCCAAATCAAATTTAGATGAGTATAATCCACCTGAGTTTGTGGCATTTGATGTTTTGAAGCCAAGGGGACCTCCGGATGAAGGTAAAGTCTAACTAAACATGCCCTAACTAAAACAATTCACCACAGTCTGTCAGCAAGTCTTTTTTCTTCTAGAAACACAAGCCACAAGTCTCTCAGTATTGAGTGTTGACATGCGTGTGACGGAGAACAAAAAAGACCACAACACTGACAAGTATGTGAGCTCCAACCTCATCGTGCGCAGGAATAAAGAGTTCACCATCATCATCCATTTTAACCGGGACTTCAATGAACAGGACAATGTGGAGTTGGAGTTCCTGATTGGTGAGATTCTGCATCCAGGAATAATTCTCAATACGTGATAAAGTACATCTGTAATAAAGAAGCTGCACATTACATTAGTGCATGAAATATCCCCCATAGTCTAACACAGGTCACGTCTGCTGTCCTGCTCATTTCACAGGCAGTTTACCTGATGAAAACAGGGGCACCTACATTATTTTGCCCATTGGTAAAGAGAAACCTGAAGTGCTCTGGAAGAGTCGTGTGGTGGAAACACAAGGCAGTTATGTGACCATTGGCGTAACACCAGACGCCAGCTGCATCATTGGTCGGTTTCAAACCTTTGTTGTAGTTGTGAGTAATTTGGGAAAACAGCGCACTGTGAGGAACACTGACACCGATGTCTATGTGCTGTTCAATCCTTGGGACCCTGGTGAGTAAAACCAGGTGAAGCCCTGTGAAGCCATGGGTTACAGTGAATTTAGAAACCTCCCTTAGCTGTTCTAAATTCACTATAAACCATGGCTTCACGGGATGTATTGCTTTTATAAAATGGTCAGTCTATAACAATATCATTTAATTTAAATATTGATGTAATGAGGTCTAAGGTCTATGTTTGTAGAGTAGTTACAACAGCTTTGAATGTGGCTCAACCGATAGGAATCAAGAGGCCCCATTAATAAAATGTTGGATAGAAAACCAGTCCTACATTTTATCTTATGATTATTGGTGAAATTGGGAGCAACTGAATGGATTCAGATCTCTGCCTTGTAAATGGCACCCCTACTGTAATTACTGTCATTAACTTATAAAACGTAATAAATGCTTATGAAGGAAGTGTATTGTATGTTTTTCTTCCCAGCGGATCAGGTGTACATACCCAGAGAGATCGACAGACAGGAGTATGTGATGAATGATGTGGGGACCATCTACAATGGAGATGCCAATAACTTTATCTCCCGTTCATGGAACTTTGGACAGGTTAGCAGTAATACAGTTTTTTTTTCCCCCAAGGAAATAAACACATGTTGTCCTATTGAGCTCAGGTCCATATGCCATCACTAAACTCTTTCCCTGTCAGAGGTTTATGTTTAAGTTGCCAGTCAGTGCCAGCATTTTGTATCATATTCGGCTTTGACACCCATGAATTAAAAACACAAATTAATGTGTTTTCCTGTAGTTTGAAGAGGGGGTTCTGGATGCCTGTCTTTTTGTTCTGGATTCTGGGAAAGTACCACTAATTTTCCGTGGAAGTGCCCTTGAAATTGTTCGGCAAGCATCAGCTCTGGTATGATTTTATAACGGTAATCAAAGGATAGACTATACCACAAACCCATTTTACATGAATACACATATAATAAAATAGATGTTTATCTAGGCTTTTTGGTGTTATATTTCAGTTAAACGCCAATGATGATGATGGTGTCCTGGTTGGCAACTGGAGTGACGATTTCTCCAATGGCACAGCACCCACTGCCTGGACTGGAAGTCCTGAAATCCTGCTCAAATATGCTAGAGAAGGTGGTGTTCCTGTGTCCTTCGCTCAGTGTTGGGTGTTTGCCGGCGTAATGAACACTCGTGAGTATGGCCACTGCACATTATTCGGGGTGTCCGTTTGAGAACTTTTTCTTCATGACAGTTTAAAACACTTTCAGAATGAACTTATTGTAGGCTTGTGACATTTAACCACATGTTTAACCTCATATTTTCCACCCAGTTATGCGCTGTCTCGGGATCCCTACACGGGTCATCACCAACTTCAGCTCTGCTCACGACAACACGGGCGACCTGAGGACAGATATTGTGCTAGACCAATACGGGAGAGTAGACCGAAGCCGAACAAAAGATTCAATCTGGTGAGATACACAAATAGTGTTACATTCAAGTTGTCCTAACTTCTATCCTGCAAAAAATTGTTCCTTGGTTAATATAATTCACAGTTTTATCTCAGGCATTGCATGATTTTTCAATATGAAGTTAATGTACTATCCAATGTTATGTAACTGACAGGTTGATTATTAATACAGTTGAGTTTTTCTTAAAGGAACTACCACTGCTGGAATGAGGTGTACATGATGAGACCTGATTTGCCGAAAAAATTCTCTGGCTGGCAGGTGATCGACTGCACCCCTCAGGAGACCAGTGATGGTATGAACCTTGCCATGACTTTTGAACTATCATAAATATACCTTACGTTTTCAGGAAACACAGGACGAGATACAATTCATCCTTTTAGTGCAAACACGTACCAGGAGAATGTACTTTACCTTGACAGTGTAGTTGTCACAGTGGAGCTTTTGGGTGGGCATTCTCTATTGATGGGTGATCCGAGGGACACATCGTCAGTAGCACACCTCAGATTTCATTGGATGTTTTGGCCATTATAACTCGGACATCCTCGGTTGAGCTAGGCCCTAAGGGGGTGATCAAGTCCCCACAGTGTATCCCCCCAATCAAGCTGGAGCCCAGCAAGAATCATGTCTCTTTATCCACAGCCACTGGCTACTTCTCTCAGCGGCCTCAGACATTGCTTTGAGGGCCTCGCCCAGACTCTGGCCTCTGATTCCCTGGTCTCCAAGTAGTCTGGTGGCAGACACTGCTACAAACCCCCTACACCCCACCTCCACTGGACGGACTTCAGTTTTCCATCTGCAATCTTATGCTTCAGCAGCTAGCTCAGTATAGCGTAGTTTTTTTGTCCCGCTCATATGCTTCTAGTCCTCCCAGGGTATAGTGAGTTTGATGCTTAAGACCCTCTTCAGACAGGGGGAACAGAGAACTATGTCAGGCCTTAAGGCCAATTTATACTTCTACGTAGGGTGCGCGCAGTAGGTACGGCGTAGCATACGCACAGACGCGTCCCATACCGCGTATCCTTCACCTTCGCCTGACGCGCACCTTCTCAAAAATGTAACTACACGTCGTGCCGACGCCGACCGCAAGATCGGTGATTGGTCGGCTCGGTAGCATCGCATTTCCTCCTACGCATTTCCGCACGTACCTTCTCACGCATTTCCACACGTACCATCTCCTCCGACGTCTTCTCTCATTTCTGCCTTTCAGTTTTAGTAATTTCACTAAAGTTAACTGTTTTTCCACCTCAATAAGCTCCAACTCATGATCCGCTCTCTTTCAGTCTCTATTGCTTGTAGTAACCTAGCCGCGAAGAATCTAAACACAGTGGAACATTAAATCCCTCTGCCGCCAACTAGCGTTTCGGAGCAGTACTGCAGAGCAACCAAGACCTGAACGCAGAAGTATAAATACTCACAACGATCCTTGTGCGTAGCCAACGCCTACGTGCGTAGCCAACGCCGTACACTATGGCGTACCCTCGACGCAGAAGTATAAATTGGCCTTTACTGTGGTGCTGTCAATCTCTGGAGGAAAAACAAGCCGCAGACCAACATCCACTAGCATCTTTCGGTCACAGGCCCCTTCAAGCTGACCATGCTCCAAAGAAGTGCACCTGCACCTGGCTACCTTTGCCCCATATGGACAAAGTTGATCTGCAGTGGATTGGGTGCTGATGGTGGTAAGGAATTGAAAGCAGTCCGTTTGTTTCCAGCGTTGTTACTCAACATTACATCACAAGATTCAATCAGTGTTTTCTAGAGTCCTACTTTAGCATACTTGAATTCCTCTGTGAGACTAGTGAGGAGCAGTTTGAGGGCGCAATCTCCGTAGAGGCATCGAGGCACTCCAAGCAATTGAGTTAATTTCCTCCTCTCATTCAGGTCTTCATCGGTGTGGCCCAACGTCTGTCAGTGCCATAAAAGAAGGAGAGCTTAGCTATCCCTTCGATGCAAAGTTTGTCTTTGCCGAGGTAAGAAAACTGTAATTTAGGGATGTGCCTGATGCCTAAATCCAAATGGAAAATGAATAGTGTTATCTATGGAGCCTCTAAAGCAGGGGTTCTCAAACCCGGTCCTGGAGGGCCACTGTCCTGCAGAGTTTAGCTAAAACCATGATCAAACACACCTGAGCAAGCTAATTAAGGTCTTCAGGATCACTAGAAACTCACAGGTAGGTGTGTTTGATCAGGGTTGGAGCTAAACTCTGCAGGACAGTGGCCTTCCAGGATCGAGTTTGAGAACCCCTGCTCTAAAGGCACATAAGTGACCATGGTATAAGCCGGTTAATGCCCTTCGAGGTGTCCATTGTCTAGGTATTCATGGACTTCAGCGGAGGCCTGACAATAGACACCTAATCGGGGCATTAACCCTTACGCCCTTGAATGTTAATAGTGTGTTACTCATGTGTTCCTGTGTAGTTATTCATTAATGAATGAACAGGATTCTAAAGTGTTACCAAACGTTGAAAAATATTTCCATCCCCATGTAGAATACAGGCACATCCCTAATGTCAATTCTCGTTGATATTCGTACCTTTAGATTTTATTTACAATACATTAAAATCTTAGCAACTGTACAAGCAAATGAACAGGAAAAAATAACTCTCTTCTGTCTTCAGGTGAACGGTGATGTGATATTCCATCGGTCTAATAAGCAGGGAGAAGTGAAGGTTATCTATGTGGACACCGGGTATGTTGGAAAGCTCATTTTGACAAACAAACCAGGCAGTAGCATCTATGAGGACATCACTTCTACCTATAAATATCCAGAAAGTAAGTTTCATTCCATATCAGTCTACAGAATTAAAAAGTGATGTGACATTATATTAGGAGTCATTAGATAAGGGTTCCTCGAACTCGGTCCAGGAGGGCCACTGTCCTGCAGAGTTTAGCTCCAACCCGGATCAAACACACCTGAGCAAGCTAACCAAGGTCTTCAAGATCACTAAAAACTCACAGGTAGGTGTGTTTAATCCGGGTTGGAGCTAAACTCTGCAGGACAGTGGCCCTCAGAACCGAGTTTGAGGAACCCTTCATTAAATCATTGTAGCTATCTGATTTTTATCTCTTTTTGTCTAAAAGTACGGCTAGTAACGTTAAAAAAAACGTTACCGATACCTTTGAGCTGTTAAGTGCTTCATCAGATTTGCCGATCTTGGCAGCAATCATCTTGTCTCAAATATTACATTGCGCACAGCTGGCATCGAGTCTGGTGAAACATAGCCACACTTTTGATCTTTGCCACATGTTTTCCATCTATGTGTAGGATGCTTAAACTCACACACTACAGCTTCACACGTAAGCCACGTCTCTTTGGGCAACCACGTAAACTAGCGTTTTCCCGCCACAGCCAATCATGCTGCATGCACTGACGTAATCCCATAGATATAAAATTTGGAACCGAAAAACAAGACAATGTTTCGATACTCAATAGTGGCGAGGCAATTCGGTTGGTGCCAAAAAAGAATCAAACTCGATACCCAGCCCTATATAAAACATCTCGAAAGCCTTGAATGTTTATCTATCAAGGGTCATTTGATATTCAAGGGCAGTCCAAATAGATGTTGTTGCCTTCTAGATTCTTTCATTGCAGCAGCGCCGGGGACAGTGAGTCTCGTGACTTATACACATAACCTGATTTATACGAGGTTGAACTGGGCATAAGATGGACACGAGCGCGAGTTTGCGGGCGAATTTAATAACGTGGAGCGTTATTAACTAATTGATCCATATATAAGGCGCTCCGGATTATAAGGCGCACTGTTGTTGTTTTTTTAGAAAATTAAAGGCTTTTAAGTGCGCCTTATAGTGCGGAAAATACGGTACTCCTCAATGGATCGAGACCAGACCGAACTTCCCGTCCAAAAAAATGTTGTGAGCAGGGTTCGGGCTGGCATCCAAGCTAGAACATCCCAATAATTTTCCTTCAAATCTTCTGACTCTAGAAACCCTCAAGGAGAGAGAGGTCTGGCAGAATGCCGAGCGTTCCGGCATTCCTGCTAGGGATTATTTACCACTCACTGAAGCAGGAGTGACCTTCGAGCTCAAGGCCGACGCCGTAAAAATGGGTGATAACTTCAAGCTGATGCTGAACATTAACAATCAGACCAGCCAGACCTGCACCATCAATGCTACCATCACTGGCTGTGTGGCGTTTTACACGGGCGTCACCAGCGAGACCTTTATGCTGGAAAACAAAGCTGCAACTGTGGAAGCCTCGAAGAGTGAGTCACGATTGTTGTTTCCGATTACTTTGAAATTGAGTTATAACAGCTCAAAGGAACTCTGGGAGCACTGATTATGGATTAGGCTACAGTGTGATCATTATATCTTTACAGCTGAGTCCCTGACGGTATATGTCAATGCTTCGGAGTATACACCATATCTGATGGATAAGGGCAACCTGCTCTTTGTGGCCTATGGGCTTATTGAGGAAACCAACACGTCCATCTCTACGATGAAAGTAGTCACTCTCCAGCCTCCTAAACTCACAATAACGGTAAATATCCAATGTAAAAAGTGTAGGGCTTGGTATTGATGCAGATTTAAAATTTGACTAAAATTCAGATTTAAATTTGATCTTGATGGGCCAGTTGTTCAAAACATTTATTCTGGATCAAAATGATCTGGATTTGGAAATCCCATTTTTTCCTATCCAGGATCAGGTAATCCGTCTTACTTTTATGCTGGTTTTTCAAAGCAACACTGGACTGGATCACCCTGATCCAGATACACAGTTTTCAAGATTACCAAATCCGGATTACCAGTGCTCTAAATGGGACAACATATCACAATGTGGGCTACCAGTAAAGAACAGGTAGAAGAGCCAACATGGGGTCACTGTAAGATCATTTTCATTTTATTTTTACTTTACTATACTGAATAGCTTAATTGTTATGTCTACTTTATCACTGTTACAACGATAATACAAGTTAAGTGCAAAATATAAATAAAAGTATATACACTAAATGATACAAATGTATTATTTGACAAATTTTAAAGTTTTACTACATTTTCTTCCTGAAATCCACCTTGAAATCCAACCCCCTGTTGAGATCAGGATAATCCTGTTTTTTTGGATCAAATTTATCCAAATCCCACTGACAAGTTTTGAACAACACAAAAGGGTTGATCCAGATTAAAACTAGGATTGGATTCCCTGATCTAATCTGATTTCAGATTCCTTCTTTCCCTTTTTGAACAACCCATTTTCAAGATTTGATTCAATCCGATAACCAAAATCCGATCAGCTTACCTTTGAACAACTGGCCCGATATATTTAGAAATAGTTTCTTAATGGGATAATCCAAAAATGAGCATTCTGTCATCATTTACTCACCCTCAGTGTTGTCCCTAACCTATATTTAATGATTGATTGATTTACTTTCTTTAAAATGACGTTATAAACTTAGAAAGAAAATAAAATTAACCTTAATAGAAAAAAGAACATGACTGTCTTTAAAGCTTGGACAGATCAAAATGAACATTGTAAGTTTATTTGCCCTTCATGTCAGAAAGAGGTCAAGGCCATAGAGCACATCAGAAATAGGAAGTGACAAGAGTCTCCTGTCATGGATTTGTCATGTTGCGCCACATCCAGCGTGGAAAGAAACACGGATTATAAATGGTCGGTTCACTCGCATCTGTTGTAGACACTTGACAGTTGCCATCTGCTTGATGGGAGTTGCGTGAAGAAAACTTACTTAACGAAACATTATTTTAGCACGTCAACTGAAGAAAGTACTGATAAAAACACAATAAGGGCTCGTTCACGTGAAACATGTTTCATCTGATATTGACACTTTATGCAGATTTGGCAAATTTAATGTAATCCTGGTCACATATTTATTATGTTCTAATTTTAGATAAGATTTTCCAAACTTACCTGTGTACACGTACAAAGAGCTACTGTACGTAAAAGCACTAAACATTTGTTGGTGCTCTACATTATAATTCGTCCACAGATGTCGGGAACCCCGCGAGTTGGCAGAGATCTCACGATCAGTGTGGATTTCCAGAATCCCTTTAATTTCATCCTGCGAAATGTTCAGCTCCGCCTTGATGGACCTGGTCTGATACCAACCAAAATAAAATATTACAGGTAAACTTCATTTTTATAACACATTTGCTTGTGAACTAAATCAAATGCAAATGAATAAATAAAAAAAGTCTTGTCAACTATTCCACCACACACCCATTAACATGCCCAGACATGTACAAAGACACATTTATTTATTTATTTATATAGATGTCCATTTACATTTTCCATATCTTGTATTATTTATAATGATCTTTTTGTGTGAAAAAGATATGTTGCAATCCGAAATCGGAAGACATACCTGCTGAAAAATCCAGCTAAAACCAGCCTAGGCTGGTTGGCTGGTCTTAGCTGGTTTAAGCTGGAAGTAGCTGGTTTTAGTTGGTCACCCAGCCTGGCTTAGCTGGTCAAGCTGGTCTCCCAGCCTGACCAGCTAAGACCAGCCTGACCAGCTGAAAAAGTGTTCAAAACCCCTCTAAAACCAGCCTGATAAACCAACTATAACCAGGCTGGGAGACCAGCCAAAACCAGCCAACCAGCCTTGGCTGGTTTTAGCTGGATTTTTCAGCAGGGATACAATACAAAATTAAATACTCCTTTGGATGAATTCCCAAAATGATTTTGTCTCTTATGTCTTCCACTTGCAGCCAGATATTACCTGGTGGCTCAGTGAGATATAAAGTGTCGATGGTCCCTCGAACTCCTGGAAGAAAGGTGCTGATGGCGGTTCTAGACGCCCCATTACTGAGACAGGTCACCAATCAGCTAGTAATCCAAATATATTGAAAGCTGAATGACCGCTAAGAGTGAACAAGAGATGGGAGAAGACAGGAAGAGAAAACAGAGTTTCTTTGCTTTGTCAATGTTGTTTTGAAAGAGCAAATTCCTCCTCCTCACCATACAGAATTTCCCTCAAAAATGATTTCAACTCATGTCGTTTCAAACCCAGGTGTCTTTCTTCCGTGAAACTTTTTTTTTTTCTGTGAGGAAAAAAGAAGGGTTTTTGGTCCATAGAATTAGTCATAAAGGTTTGAGTGACTTTTAAAAAAATTACATCAGCAAGTGTGAGAACTGTAATAAATAGTGACATCCATTGAAATCTGTAGTGATCATTAACATGCGTTTTGTTTGGGGTAGATAATACTAACTGTATTATTCACTATATATTGTTTATTTTCTCTGCTATAATGTCATGGACTGCTATCTGTTAATCACTCTCACTATCCTACACACACACACGACAGAAAGAGGTTTTTGCACATCCTTGTTAAAACAAGTCAAATTCTGGGAAAGCAGAAATGATTCAGTGAGATATGAGCAGAGAATATGTTGAGCATTTCTTTACAACCCATTTTTTTTCACAACAGGGAGTCAGTTAGCCATAGCTATAACCAGTTTTCTTCTAGAAAATCTTAAATGAGGCATTAGAAAGGTAGCTGAAATATTTACTAAACTAACACGCCAAGCATTAAAATTTCTTGCAATTCTGTAAGTGAGCATTTGTGCAGGTCTTGCATCACATAAATGCTGGCAAAAATCTAATAGTTTTGTATATTTTGACTTTACAAAGCCAGTGGTATGTATCAACTCGTCTTAGTTTAGGGAATAACATAGTTTAATATGAAACAACAGTGGAGTATCCCTTTAAGGTTACGCATACTGTCCAGGTGGAGGGCTCCGAGATCAGAATTTCTACCCGAACCCAGAGTACTCCCCTCTTTGGTAAGGTTAGATTGAACTAAAGTGAGGAGGTTCTGCTGTTATTTATCTTGTCCTGAGTTGATTACTGATTGATCTCCACTTGTGCTAATTGTGTTAATTATCTGCACCTGCTCCTCCTGAACCTTGTTAATAAAACATAAAGTGAGTAAAGAAACAAGTTGTAGTGGAACGTTATTGGCCAGTGCCCCTAATACATTTGTTCAATATTGTTCTCTTACGAGATAAGCTAGCTTACACTACAGGAAAGATTCATCTTTTCTGAGATATTGAACCTAAAAACTTAAAGGTTTAGTTCACCCAAAAATGAAAATTCTGTCAGTATTTATTCACCCTCATGTTGTTCAACCCCGCAAGACCTTCGTTCATCTTCAGAACACAAATTAAGATATTTAAGATATTAAGATCGCTCCTGCATACTAGTCCATAGGCTTCTTGAGGGAATGACTCTTGATGGTATCGAAAAATCATCAAAGACATCGTTAAAATAGTCCAAGTGACTTCCGTGGCTCAATTTTAACTTTGTCAAACGACGAGAATATTTTTTGTGCGCAAAAACAAACAAAAATAACGACTTTATTTCAACTATTCACTTCCTTCTCTATGGGCTTGTAGTCAGTTAACGTAGTGTGATTGCGTAGAGCTACGTCACACGTAGGCTCACTATTGGCCGGCGCTGGTCATGTGTGTGATGAACACAAAAAGTGTTCTCGTCGTTTGATAAAGTTAAGATTGAGCCCCTGTAGTCACTTGGACTATTTTAACGGTGTCCTTTAATGACTTTTCGATGCCAGCAAGTGTCAAGAAGCCTATGGACTAGTATGGAGGGGTGATCTCAATATCTTAAATATCTTAATTTGTGTTCCGAAGACGAACGAAGGTCTTACGGGGTTGGAACAACATGAGGGCGAGTAAATACTGACTAACCCTTTAATTTTGTATCCATCGTCCACGCAGTGCAGCAGCTGCCAGACCTAGAGCGGGCTATCTAGCGAGCTCATAGGCTGTTCTGCGGCAACTGCAGCAGCCTATCAGTGAACCTGGGATGATGTCACACCCAATGAGAGGCGCTCGCGCCCTTAAGGCATCACAGCCCGCCAGAATGGGCATGGCTAGGTGTATATAAGCTAGTCAGAGGCTGCTTCGCTGATTTTCATCTCTTCAGTGAAGCTCTTCGCATCGCTGGACTACAGAAGCGGCATTGCCGTCTGAGGGGCAACTAGCAAGCTCAGGACAGCTCCTGAAGAAGCCGGCCGTCTTCGCCACCTTCAGCCATCCGTGTGAGCTACGTGTGAGTGTCTTTTTAAAGATGCCTCACACTTCCTGCGGAGACCGCAATTTGATCTACGCTCTCTACCTGGGCAAGAAACACGCAGCCCTCGCTCTCGCCGACGGCGGATGTGACCTCAGTTGCCGCAGAGTGGCCGCCTTGCCGTCATATCCGATGAAGAGTCGGAGGATAACAATGTTAAAAACCAGCCAACCCCTTATAAACCCCAATACAACCCCATCTTTGTCACACAGAACAATTCAAAATAAAACACAAAACAAAGTAAGACCAAAAGTTTTTTATTTTATTTCTGAATGTATGGTAGGCCTATATTTTTTAATATTTGTACTATCATGACCGCAATGGTGCTGTTGGTTTACCTTGTTGTGGCATCCTCAAAAGAGCAAAATAAAATGTGACACTGAATTTTAAACAGCACATTGTAATTTCTGCATCTATTATCAAAGTATTTATTAGTAAGTAATACAGTGGAAATTAGTAGAAATGTAAATATTTGGTTAGCATGTTGACATTACATTTTCTGGTTGTGCCCCTAAAATTTTCAGTTGGGGGTAACTTCCTTAACACCACAGCAATCAAAAGAAATGCAGACTCTCTTGTGTGACATATGTAGTAGCTAACACAGATAGATGAGCCATTCATCTATCCTCCCTACCAATCACTATCACATGATCACATGAGTGACTCAAACTAGGGCCTATTGAGCCAGAATCTTGCCCTGACTTGCCAGACCGAGCTTCACAAATCCTCTCACAAACTGACTCCCGATGACAAAGGCGGCGCATTCGGGCACCAACATTTCGAGCACACCCCTTGTTTTAGTTTATGGAGTGGTGTGCAGCCTGCCAGCTTGACCTTTTCACGCTCAGTCTCTCTTACTCTCTAAGGGCAAAGATCAGGGTATCAGTGGAGCACTATGTTTACAGAGAGCAAGAGAAAGGGGGCTGGTTTGGGGCCAAACTAGGACAGAGTGGAAGAATATTACTAGTACTCCGTCTCTCATTCCCGTAAATCACACTCTTTCGCCCGCTCATTCGAATGTCATTCGCCCTACAGTCACATTCACACAGCAGCAGAGTACGGTTGTCTGTCCTGTACTTGAGTATGGTTACGTTTAGACACATCAGAGTTATTTATAACCGTATTTTCTTCTGTATTAGTGTATTATTGTACATGCAAAAAAGATGTGCAGTTGTGGATCAGATGACACGCATTCATTCACTGAAGTCTACATCCTGTAAATAGGGTCTGAGACAGAGAAATCAGGAAAAAAGGCAATTTGAAATACATTTTAAGATAAACTGAGGTTGTTTTTTTTTTAAACTGAGGTATTTGTATTGAATATATGAATATAATTGACTATAAACATTAGTTGATGTAAAATATCTCTCAATCAAACAACACATTCAGAAATGTGCATATGAATTAATACACCATATTCAAAAGTTTGGGGTCAGTGAGATTTATTATGACCATTGATCAAAAATACATTAAATACAGTAAATGTGTTTACCGTAAATTGTAGTACAATTTAAAATAGCTGTTTTCTATGTGATTATACCGTAAAATGTAATTTATTCCTGTGATCAAAACTGAATTTTCAGCATCATTAATCCAGTCTTCAGTGTCACATGATCCTTTAGAATATAATGATTATTATCAATATCGAAAACAGTTAATATTTCTATGAAAACCGTGATACCTTTTTCAGAGTTATTTTGACCAATATAGTTCAAAAGCACGGCATTTATTTAAAATACAAATTTGTAAAATGACTTTAGTGTAACTTTTGATCAATTTAATGCATCCATGCTAGTAATGTGTGTGTGACTCTGATCTCATCTGAGCTGCACACTGTGTGAAGAGGCCATTGGTGATCCTGAGAGTAAACCCAATTCATCTGAACAATACTCAGAATCAGAACCAACAACACATTATCGCACAGACGTAACTTCATAGCCTTTCAGTCGCTTTAGACCCAGAATCTGACTAACTCCTCGTGAATTTTAGGTGAAATACGCGGAACGAGGCAACTTAACTTCTCATTTGTGTCAAATGATAATGGCAGCGTGTCACGAGTTTCACTTCCCCGTATTCAATAACAAGGTTTTACTGACATGACCTCATGGACACTTCCTGAAATCCAACTGAATATAGTATCTTTTATATATTTGGAATTTTTAAAGAATTATTTGTTTATTTTGTCATGACTGGACTGTTTTAATTTAAGCATGGCATGGTAAACGCTGTAATCAAAAACACAACCAATAAAATATTAAAAACTGATCACACTGTAGTCAATTTATGATTTTTTGTTTTCAATGCCTTTTTTTACATAATAAAATAAAACCCTTTTTTGCCCTTTTTACTATAAAATTTTGTGTTTTTAATATCGTAACACTCTCTAAAACCTCTCCGGACATCACTTTTGGTATTACTGTAGGCCCATCCTTCCATTAAATTCACAATCAAGTGAAGTCACACACATTCCAGCAATGCATGTTGTTCCAAAACACTTTCTTAAAAAGCCCCCCCCCCCCCCCCCTGTGAAAATGAAAATCAAGCCTTTAATTTTGTGTTTTTAATATGAATTTGCACAGATGGTTTGTTTAAAAGCATAAGTCAACAGCATTGCTGAGTTTTGTCTTCTTTGAATATTTTCTCCATAAACTGCAGATAACCAAAGACTCTAAAGCACGGTCAGATTGACGTGTGATAGTCCATGAGTGGATCTTTGAGCTGCTGTGAGTGAGTGGAGGCGGGGCACAGTTGAATATTTATATAACAATGTATACTAAATGAAGAAAGGGTTTTAGAGTTACGTTCAAGCTTATTTTCAGGCATGAAGATTTGTTTTCAAGGTAAGGAAGTTTAAATAAATGACCCTGAACCACAAAACCAGTCACAAGAGTCAGATTTATACACCATGAAGATTGATACACAGGCTTTTCATTGGTGTATGGTTTGTTAGGATAGGACAATATTTGGCCGAGATTCAACTATTTAAAAAATCTGGAATCTAAGGGTACACAAAAATCTAAAGTTTAAATTTTAAAGCTGTCCATTTATGCATCCACTCACAATACTTACAGTAAGAAATGTCTAAAATATCTTCAGGGAACGTGATTTTTACTTAAAATCCTAATGATTTTTGGCATGAATGAAAAATCTATAATTTTGACCCATTCTGTGTCTTGTCTGCATGTGTTCTTGTTAGTTATCAGCCAAAGTATGACAGAATAACCGACCAAACAAAGATGAACTTGATGGACTCACCCACGCTGCAGCTTCTCCTCTGTCCAGAGAGCAGGTCCGATCTGGGTTACCTGGCCTGGATGATCCAGAATGGCGAGCTCTCCTATGAACTAGGAACCGATAGACCTGTGGTCCGCGGATCAAGTCCCCACCCTCACATCATCATCTTCCAGGTCCCTGCCTGTTGCCTCGTCCTGTCTCCGTCGCTGGTCCAGGCCAGCCCCCTGGACCCGTCGGCACCACTGGTGTCAAGTAGCTCCTCGGCTCTGTCACCGCCGGCTCATCCTCCACGCCTCAGGCTCCCCTGCCACCAGCTCGGCTAGAGGCCGAGTCCCCGGCTACAGCTCGGGCCTCCAGGCCCACACCACCACCTCGTCCTGTCAGCCCGTCACCCTCATCTCGACCCACCACTCCTTCATTGCCTCCGCAGTCCGTCTGCCCGGAGGCTCCGCTGGTCCAGGTCGCCCCTTAGCAGTCGATGCCCAGCGGCAGCTACAGCCTTCCAGGATTCGGGCTTCGCCCTCACCATGCACCCCTTCGACACTCCTGTATACCTCCCTTCCTCTGAACTCCATGTTGGCCTCCCTCACCACATTGTCACCTCACTCATCTGTCCACATGTCACTGGGTCCACCGTGTCGCCATGGCCCGTCAGCCGCTGGGATCCACCGGTTCCTCCACCTCTCACCATGGTTCCGCCTCTGCTGATCGGCCCCATGGTAAAACCGCCCGCCCGCCCTGTGTGGACTCCACACTGGCTCCTTCCCCCATCTGCGCCACCATGGTGCCCGTGGCCGACGCCCCCAGGGTAGAGTCCGTCCCCAGCTCCTCACCCTTCGCCGAAACCTCAACCCTTTTTACTGTATTTTTGATACATAAATTAGTTGTTTCAAAAATATCATCACGGTTTTCATCACGGCGGGAGGACGTGCCTTTCAAGGACGTTGGGCGTAATGTCACAATTATGTTCAGTCTTGTCTGCACCTGTTCTTGTTAGTCCCTTAACCGTCATCCACCTGACTGTGACTAGTTCCCATGTTTACCCAGCCCTAATGTTTACCCATGCTGCCTTGCCGCGGCGCGATTTTATTTGGACACCATAAACCAAATTTCCCCCTGAAATAGGGAACCAATCACAGAACGGGGAGGGAGCGTACAGTCACATTTGATAATTTGACATTAGCCAGGCTAATGTTAACCCTGTGTATATATTCTCCCCGTTCAGTCCATTGACGATTATTGTTCGTGTCTATGTATTAAACGCTGTTGTGTCCTATTCACCTGCCAGTGTACATTAAAGCTTTGTTATATTTTTGGATTCAAGCTTCATCTGTCTGCTCTATTGGCCAAAGTGTGACACGTACAATGTATTGTTGGCTATTTCCACAAATATACCCACATGACTGGCTTTGTGGTCCAGGGTCCCATATCGAATTTTGGTGATCAAACATGAGTTTTAGGGGATAAAATTGACTACAAGTAGACTTTAAGAACTTGAAAGCTTTTAGACTGGTGTGATAAAGCTCATAATTCTTGAGCAACACTTGTTGTCTGATGAAGGAATTGCTGTATTTGTGAAGCATTATTTGGTTTAAAAAGGTAAATGGACTGCATTTAAATAGCGTATTCACTAGGGTTGGGTATCGAGAATCGAGTATCGATTGGAACCGGGACTAACTTTTCGTTTTTCCCAGAATCGTTCAAAAGTTAAAATTTCACAGTTCACAGTCCGCCGAGTGGAAGAAGAAACCGCTGGACAACACCAACGAGGAAGCGTCTACCGGAAGTGTTGGCATAACCGCGCGAGTCGAACATGAGTAGCTTACGTCGGCGGTCCAAAGTGTGGCTTCACTTTTCTAAAAATTAACGAAATCTCGGCAAAATGCAAAATTTGTGACAAGTATTTGTGACAGAAGGAGTATTTCCTTCAGAAAGACCGTTGGTTAACAAGGCTAAACTTTTTTGACCCTGCCTCTTAAAAGAATCGAAATCGAGAATCGTTAGGAACCGGAATCGAAACAAGGAATCGGAATCGGAATCAGAATCGTTCAAATTCAAACGATACCCAACCCTGGTATTCACAGACCCATGGCCACTAAAGCGCTTTACATATTGCCTCACATTCACCCATTCATACACCGACGGCGGTGTCAGCCATCTCGTCGGGAACAGCTGGGATTAGTTGTTTTGCTCATGGACACCTCGACACTTGGCCAGGTGGAACCAGGGATTGAACCACCAACCTTCCAGTTTGTAGACGACCTACATGAAACACTTAGCCACTGCAACCCCAAAAATTACAATCTCAATGCATTTTTGCAGTGAAATGTCAATGATTTCAGATGATTTGAAGTCTTGATGATTGTTAATGAATCACACTAATATTATTTTGCTTTATTCTCAGTTCAAACATCTCATTTCAATGCACTGTGCACAAATCTTATCATTAACGCTTAAGTGATATCTGCAAAATACCTTAAATACGTTTAGGGCTCACTTCATAACTTCGCATAATTCAAATTAAATAAAAATAAAATTAATTATGGCTATAATACATTAATTTTATAATCTCATCTACATGTTATTGACAGTCTGGAAGATGCTGCTGTCATCAAGAATCAGAAGCAGGGTCACAGAGTTGAATGTCGGACTGACCTGATCTTGGGGTCATCTTAACTTCGGACGCTCTGGTTCCATGGATGTGTTTTTCTCCAACGGAAGAGGAAGTCCTGAGCCTTTATTAATCAGCATGAAGCTCTTCATGAGCACATCAGCCTGGAGCCTCCTCACCTCAGAAGAACATCTACTCTTCTATCACACACCGTAAGTTCAACGCTTTTAATGACTAAACTCTTTAGCATTAATACAAAGTTGTGCTTTACCAAATGGGCAGTCTATAATGTCAGTAGATTTCTAACATTAAAATGATCTGTCCTCCAGACAAACATCAAGGCATCTTGTGTACATCATGTTACTACAACCCAACCCCAACTCAGCAAGCGGCCGTATTCCCTTGGCCAAATCAAATTTAGATGAGTATAATCCACCTGAGTTTGTGGCATTTGATGTTTTGAAGCCAAGGGGACCTCCGGATGAAGGTAAAGTCTAACTAAACATGCCCTAACTAAAACAATTTACCACAGTCTGTCAGCAAGTCTTTTTTCTTCTAGAAACACAAGCCACAAGTCTCTCAGTATTGAGTGTTGACATGCGTGTGACGGAGAACAAAAAAGACCACAACACTGACAAGTATGTGAGCTCCAACCTCATCGTGCGCAGGAATAAAGAGTTCACCATCATCATCCATTTTAACCGGGACTACAATGAACAGGACAATGTGGAGTTGGAGTTCCTGATTGGTGAGATTCTGCATCCAGGAATAATTCTCAATACGTGATAAAGTACATCTGTAATGAAGAAGCTGCACATTACATCAGTGCATGAAACATCCCCCATAGTCTAACACACGTCTGCTGTCCTGCTCATTTCACAGGCAGTTCACCTAATGAAAACAGGGGCACCTACATTATTTTGCCTATTGGTAAAGAGAAACCTGAAGTGCTCTGGAAGAGTCGTGTGGTGGAAACACAAGGCAGTTATGTGACCGTTGGCGTAACACCAGACGCCAGCTGCATCATTGGCCGGTTTCGACACTTTGTTGTAGTTGTGAGTGATTTGGGAAAACAGCGCACTGAGAGGAACACTGACACTGATTTCTATGTGCTGTTCAATCCTTGGGACCCTGGTGAGTAAAACCAGGTGAAGCCCTGTGAAGCCATGGGTTACAGTGAATTTAGAAACCACCCTTAATTTACTGTAAACCATGGCTTCACATGACTTATTTTTTTTTTATAAAATGGATAGTTCATAATAATATATTTAAATGTTAATGTGTAATGAGGTCATGTCTATGACTGTAGAGTAATTAACAATGGCTTAGAATATGGCTCAACCGATGGGAATCGAGAAGCCCCATTAATAGATGTTGCATTTAAAACTGTCCTACATTTGATCTTACGACCGTTTCTGAACTGTGCATACGAGTAATCCAGAGAAGGTATTACAGAAAACCCTGCCCTGTAAACAGCGCCAAATTAAAGGTGCTGTATGCAAGAAATGTATTTCAAATAATCATACATTTTAAATCAGATATGCCACTAGATATTAAGAAATCATGTTCTTGTCCAATATTTGTATCACTGACAACAGTAGTCCAGCCAGGATATTGTCATTTAAAAAGTGCAGTTGCAGCCCTTGACTGATGTAGATGTTGTCAAGTTGTGTTTTGTTCTAATGCTCCACCCTCCACCGATCTACCAATCACGGAGTCAGTAGTGTTGCGGCATTCGGGTTGCCAGCTCTTCTCTAGTTACCACAGCTTCAGCTACAAACGTGTCGGAATCAGATAAAAACAATGTCTAATGTTGTGAAACCAAAAAAAAAAAAAAACTTGATATGATTGCAAAATACTTTGTGACAAAGTCCGAAATTAATAATTAACAGAAAAAAAGGGGGGAAACATCCTAATTTGAGTAAAGTGATTGCAGTACCATTTTTGGCCACAATCTTGCATACAGTTTATTAATGTCATAAATAGTACCAGTCCCAAGTCCTTTACTTAAGAACTTACTTTACTTAATTTCCAAATACTCCCTGGCACAAAAAAACAACAGTTTTTGTATATATGGACGTTAGCGTGTATGTTAGCGCACACACGTTGTCCAAATAAGGCACAAGGACAGGATCCATCCGTTTAATAAACTAGGAACAAACTTTAATACAAAGTTCATGAACAAATGCTGATGACACATCATGTACATTGTATGTTTTTCTTCCCAGCGGATCACGTGTACATGGAAAAAGATGAAGACAGACAGGAGTATGTGATGAATGATGTGGGGATCATCTACAATGGAGAATACCACGACATTACCACCCGTTCATGGAACTTTGGACAGGTTAGCAATAATCAAGAGTTTCGAGGCAGAGAGGCAACAAGTCAGCTTTCGGATGCAGACATAGATGGAGTAAATCGAGTCCATCAACAGCCCCAAAACTTGATTAGCTGATCCAGGTGTGTTTGATTCGAGTTAAAGCTAAACCAATCATGGGCTGAATCCAAAATCGCCAATGCACACTCAACGGCTGTCCGAGTCAACTCACTCGTTTCCATTCACTCCTTCAAGTGAACCGTATTAGGCCTTGTTTACACGAGAACACTCGCGGATGAAAACGTAAAAATATTTTATCGGATGTGCCTTTCGTGTACACGGCGACGCCGTTTTTGGGGCTTGAAAACGCAAAAAAGTGAAAGCACCATCCAGAGTGGAAATCTTAAAAACCCTCCACCGCCACATTCCCATCTAAAGGGTAAAAACGCAAAAGTCTGCTTGACAGTGAAGGTTGTACGCAGGCGCGCGGACTTGGTGTTGTTGTGTGCCACCTAGCTGCCTGGAGTGCATACTACATTGAATTTCACACACTTTTGCATCACCATTTGCACGCGGATTCCCACCCAAAACGTTCGTCTAAACGAAGAATAAAAAGTCATAACACAACGCCACTTTTGCGTTTTCTCTTCAGAATCGTTTTCGTGTAAACATAGCCTTAGTGGTCTAACGAAGGTAATTGTAATTAAGGGTTTATTGGATTCAGCTATGGTCTAATAATTGGGAGATACGAGGGTCCGTTGCTCTACCATTGGAGAAAGCGTGACGGCTAACTTGGATCACGTGTGCCTTGATAATCAGTCACATTACAGCCTTGGCGTCATTGAATTTCGTTCAGAGTTGTGCATTAGTCAATCACTATTTGCGGACTCAATGGAAATGAATGATAAGCAAACTGAAACCGACCTACAGTGGAATTGTCTGACTTCTCTAATAAAACAGCATTTATTCGGTGTAAACTCTAAAAAAAAGAGAAATCCAATTAAAACATTAATAGCAAATATTCTGAAGATTAGCCGATGATGGACAGTCCATTTATTAATTTAAAGCTGACAAAATATTCACATTAAATGTGAAGCTCTCCTCCATTGACACCCATTAAAAAATATCTTCTGGTCTCCTCCACAGCATTACATTATTTTTTGCTGACCTTAAAATGTTTTTTGGCTAAACTCCCAGGCGCCAATGAATTAACTTCTTATGTATTTTCATGTAGTTTGAACAGGGGGTTCTGGATGCCTGTCTTTTGGTTCTGGATGCCGGGAAGGTACCACTAGTTTTCCGTAAAAGTGCCGTTGAAATTGTTCGACAAGCATCAGCTCTGGTATGATTTGACAGCAGTAATCAAATTACAAAAAATTACAAATTCCATTTAATTACAAATACATACAATACATTCATGTTATTTATTTAAGTATTGTGGTGGTACATTTCTAGATGAACTCCCAGGATGATGATGGTGTCCTGGTTGGCAACTGGAGTGGCGATTACTCAGAAGGCACAGCACCCACTGCCTGGACCGGAAGTCCTGAAATTTTGCTCAAATATGCCAAAGAGGGTGGTGAGCCGGTGCTCTTTGCTCAGTGTTGGGTGTTTGCCGGCGTGCTGAACACTCGTGAGTATGGCCACAACGTGCTTTTTGGGATGTCCGTTTGAGAACTTTTTCTTCATTATAGTTTAAATTACTTTATGCACATTTTGAAGTACTTTTAGGCTTGTGACATTTAACAACACTTTTACTCATAAACTGTATAAAAATATGGAGATAGTTTCCATGACGTCACCCGTAGGTTTCTGAAGAGGATTTAAGTGGGTGGAGCCGGGGGGAGCCATCTTGTCAGGGCGTCCTCGCGCGGCACTTCCGGATAATCTAAAATTGCAACATGACATCATGACTTTTGCGTAAACATACACGCCACTTTCGAGTCAAGTGGCGTGCAATCTCTACGCATTTTGAGCTATCCGCGTGTATGCGTGTATATCTACGCCATTAACATCCGAGTGATTCCGCGTGTCTGTACACGCCGTCAAATGTCAGAGCGAAACGAAGCAAAACGTAGATCTACATCTGGGGAGCGATCTTTTTTTTCGTTAGGATGGAAAGGGAACAGTCATAAATGCCATTAACCCCAGTGACGGGTAGGTTTAGGGACGGGGTTGAGGTAAGTCATATATTTATATATACAGTAATAACGTTAAGTCAACGGCGTTCATGAACATGCTAAAAAGCGATTATGCGTGTTGATAGCACGCCAAAAATAGAAATACGAATTGGCGTGTCATACACACGCTACTTCATGAGATCAGTCTGAAAATTGGCAAAGAGGCGGATTAGCTGAGGTGACGTGACGCTAACAGACAGCAGACAAATGGCTAGTAGTGACAGCAGTGACAATCCCCCCGTCACTCAAGTGGCCACGCCCTTAATTATACAGAACTTTAAGGCTTGATATAATTTAAACGGATGGGTTATAAAAATATTCATCCCCCTCACAGTCGTAAAGAACGACAAAATTAGTTATGAATAAAAACACGTTTTGTTTCAGGCTGTAAACAAATAATTTTCTGCTGTAAAGTTGGACATGACAACATGGGATTGACTCGATTTTGGAGCCTGTCTCTACCGGCCAGTCGATGAATTGCATTTTAAGTCACTTTCGTGTTGGATTTAAGAGAGAGGCCGGAAGGCTGCCGCATGATTTTACCTCATATTTTCCAATATCTGTTCAAACTTCCACCCAGTTGTGCGCTGTCTCGGGATCCCTGCACGGGTCGTCACCAATTTCTGCTCTGCTCACGACAACATGGGAAACCTGAGGACAGATATTATGCTGGGCGAAGACGGGAAAGTGGACAAAAGCCGAACAAAAGATTCAGTCTGGTGAGATACACAAATAAGTGTTACAGTCAAGTGGTCCTAACTCTTATACTTGAAAAATGGGTGCCTTGGTTAATTTGCAGTTTTATCTGAGCCATTGCGTGATTTTTTCGTGGTGCGTTTTAAGCCAATGTTATGTAACTGACAGGTTGATTAGTAATACAGTTGAGTTTTTCTTAAAGGAACTACCACTGCTGGAATGAGGTGTACATGAAGAGACCTGATCTCCCAGAAAAATTCTCTGGCTGGCAGGTGATCGACGCCACCCCTCAGGAGACCAGTGATGGTATGAACCTTGCCATGACTTGTGGCACATTGTAAATATAACTTAAGTTAAATACAAGTTATTTTTCTTCTCTCATTCAGGCCTTTATCGATGTGGCCCAACGTCTGTCAATGCCGTCAAAGAGGGAGAGCTCAGCTACCCGTTCGATGCAAGGTTTGTCTTTGCCGAGGTAAGAAAGATATCATTTATGGATGTGCCTAAAGCCTAAATCCAAAGACACAGAAAATGAATTGTGTATTCTCTGAAGCCCCTAAAGGGACATGGTTAGGCTTACTGCGGAAGTCGGTTACACTGCATTACATTATAATTCATTCATCATGTGAAGATTGCAAGAAGAGATGACTGACAGGACATTGTCGGAGGATTTGGTGTACAACAGATCTTATCTGGTAAAATTTGTGGTCAGTACCGCCACTCCCTATACACAGTGTACGCATGATCTCACATTAGAAAGCAACAGTAAAAAGCATGTGCATTCAAAAGCGATTTTAATACCTCATATATTCTTGTTGGCAGCTCCCAGATACCCCCAAATTATGAAAAATATAATTACACAAATATATAATTCAGAGAGAAAACTAAAACGTTTTTTCTAATTTCATATTTTAGAACATGTCAATTCCTTTCCGAACACAGTATTCAGCTTAGGGCACACCCATAATGTCAATTATCGTTGACGTTTATACCTTTTGATTTAATGTACAAGACATTAAAATACAAGCAAATGGACAATAATAAAACCTAATTTCTCCTGTCTTCAGCTAAACAGTGATGTGGTATACCATCAGTGGACTAAGGAGGGAGAAATGAAGATTCTTAATGTGGACACCTCTTATGTTGGAAAGCTTGTTGTGACAAAAAAGACAAACAGTAGCGACTATGAGGACATCACTTCTACCTATAAATATCCAGAAAGTAAGTTTCATTTCAAATCAGTCGACAGAATTAAAAAGCGATGTGAACTTTGGGATGTCACGCTAGCATACAGGGGTTTCCTGAGAAAAAAAATAATTGGAGATGCTACAGTTCACCATTGTATAGAGCCGGATTTCCACTGAAATTAACCGTAACAATTTGTCACAGGAACTATTGTATATATAAAATATTCTAGGCTACTTGATACAATTTTCTTGTGAAGAAATATGGGCTTCATGACCTTATTTCAGTGACAATTGTTTAAAGTTTTTTTAACAAACCATGCATAAATGTCATTATCTCAAAACTACAAACTTTTACATACATGCTGCTAGCATATTACTGTAGCAGAGTTTGTGCTCAATACAGTAGTGTCCTTCAGTTATTTAATTATTCAACAGACTTCCATTAGGATGCCAAACACCCTATGTACATGTACAACAAACAAAAGTGATTTGACTGATTTCGTGGGAAGCAGTGGAAAATCCCAACAATTTAATACCTTCAATCCTTCTGACTCTAGAAACGGTCAAGGAGAGAGAGGTCTGGCAGAATGCAGAGCGTTCCGGCATTCTTCCCAGGGATTATTTACCACTCACTGAAGCAGGAGTGACCTTCGAGATCCAGACCGACACCGTCAATATGGGCGATGACTTCAAGCTAACGCTGAACATTAACAACCAGACCAGCCAGACCTGCACCATCAATGCTACCATCACTGGCTGTGTGGCGTTTTACACGGGCGTCGTCAGCAAGACCTTTATGCTGGAAAACAAAGCTGCAACTGTGGAAGCCTCGAAGAGTGAGTCACAACTGTTTCAGTAAAACTGCCCATTACTTTGAGATTGAGCTCTAAGTAAGTCTAGGATCACTGTCAATGGATTAGGCTACAGTGTGATCACAATATCTTTACAGCTGAGTCCATGACGGTAGATGTCAATGCTTCGGACTATACACCACACCTGGTGGAACAGGGAAAACTGCTCTTTGTGGTGTACGGGATCATTGAGGAAACAGACACGTCCCTCTGCACAATGAAAGAAATCACTCTACAGCCTCCTAAACTCAAAATAACGGTAAATATCCTCAATAACCATTCTTAAGGGAACTTGTATGTAGGGCCTGGTATTGATACCAATTTTAAATTTGATTAAAGTTATGGTTACAATTTTACATTGATTTGTTTAGAAATAGAACAATTTTCGTAATTGGAAAACCCAAAAATGAGCATTCTGTCATAATTTACTCACCTTCAGTGTTGTCCCAAACCTATATTGATTGATTTTCAATCAAAGGACAAAAAAAAAAAATAGTAGAAAAAAAACTAACAAAAATGACAGCTTTCACTTGCAGAGTGCAAGTTTCTGGATGGCACGCAAGTCTGAAGTAATGAGTTTAGGTAAAAGGGAGCAGACCCAGTGGTTGTTCTGTAGGCAAAAGTCACTGACTTGAATTTGATGCGACTTGTGCAATTTAGTGAGGAGTTTTGTCCAGTCTGGATAGAACAAGTGCTTGGACAAGGAGTTGTGTAGCCTGCTCTGATAAGACAACATGACAACATGACTTTTGCGTAAACATATACGCCACTTTCGAGTCAGGTGGCGTGTCATCTCTACGCATTTTGAGCTATTCGCGTGTATGCGTATATGTCTACGCCATTAACGTCTGCGTCATTCCGCGTGTCTGTACACGCAGTCAAATCCCCAGTCATAAATGCCAATAACCCCAGTGACGGTTAAGTTTAGGGATGGGGTTGAGGTAAGTCATACCTTTTTTTTTTTTACCTAGGATGGTAAGGGAACAGTCATAAATGCCATTAACCCCAGTGACGGTTAGGTTTAGGGACGGGGTTGAGGTAAGTCATATATTTATATAACGTTCAGTCAACGGCGTTCATAAACACGCTGAAAGGCGATTATGCGTCTTGATAGCACGCCAAAAATGTAAATACGAAATGGCGTGTCATACACACGCTACTTCATGAGATCAGTCTGGATAAGAAGGGCCTGATCCTCCAAACATTACATTTAACATTAACATTCATTCATTTAGCTAACACGTTTATCTAAAGCGACCTACAATTGCTATATATGTCAGAGGTTGGATAACGAACCTAGCTGAATGAACCTAGCCACCACAAGGTTTAGTTGGTGGTGGTCCTTCATCCAGCTCGAAATGTCTGTCAAACAGGCTGAGATGCGAGCAGAAACCATCAGATCATAAGTCTGTAATGAGAGGTAGATTTGTGTGTCATCAGCGAAGATAGGAAAAGCCTTGTTTCTGTAGCACAGATCCTAGTGATCTCATGTAGATGGAGAAGAGAAGTGGTCCAAGCACTAAGCCCTGAGGCACCCCAGTAGCTAGATGTTGGGTTTTAAACACCTCACCTCACCCCTACATGACACCCTGAAAGACCAACCTGAGAGGTAAGTCTTGAACCATTATAGTGTGGTTCCCGAGATGCCCTTAATTTTTCGGATTGACAGGAGGATCTGGTGGTTAACTGTGTCAAAGGCAGCAGACAGATCCAGCAGAATGAGAAATGAGGTTTTGAAAGCTGCTCTTGCCAGTTTTAGAGCTTCAATTACCAAGAGCAAGGCAGTCTCAGCAGTGTCCGCTTTTGAAACCAGACTGGTTGTTGTCCAGGAGGTTGTTGAGTAAGAAAGGAAGAGATCTGGTTGAAAACAACTTGTTCCAAGTTTTTTTTGTGACGAATGGAAGAAGGGATACCGGTCAGTTATTTTGTGCTGGATTTAGAGTGGTTTTCTTATGGTGCGTTCACATCGGATGCGAATAGCACGTCAGGCGCGAATTATTTCAATGTTAAGTCAATGCAAAGACACGTCACGCGCGCAAAAAATTCCTGCGGCGCGAATGAGGCGTGGAGCTTGATGCGGAAGACGCGGATACGCCTCATTTGCAAGTCAAGTTCGCGCGAATTGAGCGTCTGGCGTGTTGATGATTTAGTTAGTGCTATTTGTGCATTCACACGCTTGACGCGAATTCGCGAGTTCTTTTTACACTTTTTGCAGATTTGGCAAATTTTATATAATCCTGGTCACATATTTATTATGTTATAATTTCCAAACTTACCTGTGTACATGTACAAAGAGCTACAGTATGTAAAAGCACTAAACATTTGTTGGTGCTCTACATTATAATTCATTCACAGATGTCGGGAACCCCCGAAGTTGGCAAAGATCTCTCGATCATTGTGAATTTCCAGAATCCCTATAATTTCATCCTGAATAATGTTCAGATCCGCCTTGATGGACCTGGTCTGATACCAATCAAAATAAAAAATTACAGGTAAACTTCATTTTCTTCAAAGACACATATATTTATTTAGATGTCCATGTACTTTTTCCATATCTTGTTTTATTTATAAATATCTTTTTGTTGGAAATAATCTATTTATGTTGCGATCAGAAATCTGAAATTTCAAAAATCAAAATTAAATACACCTTTGGCTGAATTCTCAAAAATGTTTTGTCTCTTATGTCTTCCACTTGCAGCCAGATATTACCTGGTGGCTCAGTGAGATATAAAGTGTCGATGGTCCCTCGAACTCCTGGAAAGAAGGTGGTGATGACGGTTCTAGACTGCCCTTTACTGAGACAGGTCACCAATCAGCTCGAAATCGAAATATTGCAAACTGAATGACCGCCAAGGCTGAACAAGAGATGGGAGAAGACAGGAAGAGAAAACACAATTGCAGAGTTTCTAGTTGCTTTACTTTGCTTCACCAATTTTGTTTTGAAAGATAATCAAACGATCAAATATTACATTTCCTTTAGAGCAAATTCCTCCTATTTACCATAAAGACGTTAAAGGGATAGTTCAATCAAAAATGATTTCAACTCATGTCGTTTCAATCCCATGTGACTTTCTTCTGCAACACTTGATTTTTTGTTGGGGTTTTTGGTCCATACAATTAGTCCAAGAGGTTTTTGGTGAACTGAACTTGAACAAAGTGTGTGAACTGTAATACTAGTGATATCCATTGAAATCTGTAGCAATCTTCTGGTTTTGTTTGGGTTAGGTAATACTAACAGCATTAATTACTATATTTTGTTAATTTTCTCTGCTATACTGCCATGGACTATAAGCTGTAATATAGCAAAATAACAATAAACATTTAGCATTGAAGCTATTTTTGATGAATGGAATAATCTACAGGTTAATAATATGAACTCCGTTTTAATAACTGCTTGTCCATCTGTGGAAAGGTTACCTCTATTATTCACAAATACACGTTTCCTTAGCTAAATTAAGACATTCCATAGACTTATCCACAGACAACTTTCTGCATTTTTTACAATAAAAAAGGTTATACTAAAAATGAGGGCATCCTCAAAAAGGAGGTTGTCACTTTCATTTTTTATGAGATTCACCCAACGCTTTTACAAATAAAGTTTCTGACAGATTAAGCTCAATCCTGAGGACCAAAACTCCCCAACCAAGGTATAATTAAAGGAATAGTTCAGCCAAAAATGAAAATTCTGTCACCTACCCTCATGTCGCTCCAACCCTGTATGACTTTTTGTCTTGTGTGGAGCACAAATTTTTTTGTTGAAAAATCTAAAATGAGATAAATTAGGACATTGTCATGAGTGGCTGGAAAAGTAGCTCATGAAGAGCCCAAATAAATAGTCTTTATTTCAATAATCCACAAGAGATAGGGTAAAAACACTGGGAACAAATTGGCTTTACAGACAAGACAGGGCAAAGAACTGCCCAAAACTGGGAGTACTTATACCAAAACGAGGGAACATTTTGGTTATGTATGTTGTAAACCTCGTTCCCTGAAGACAAAACTGGGATCGCTCAAGGGGGGCCCTATCATCTTCGAGTGTTAACAGAACGACCCAATGCGCATCTGTGTTTGAGATTTGCACCTTGTGCTCCGCCCTGCAGCACGGATATATAGAGAGGAAGCGGGTGCAAGCACCATTCGTTTTTCTCTGAGGAGCCGAGCAGTAGCCCGGAGTCAGCAGGGGTCCAGCAACATGCAACCGAGACATTCCCATTCAGTCGGTCACTTCTGACGCATATCGACATACCGACGAAATTGGGATCTCAAGTAAAATGCCATCTAGTGCTACCACCTTTCAGCTCCTAGTGAAAGCGTGCCTCATAGAGGGCACTCTCGCAGAAGTAATGGTGCCCACAACAGCTTGTGGTAAATCACCAAAGTCCTCCACGCAGAGGTCCAGGGACCAGACATGGAGTTTCCAGAGGTCTGGACACGGGTGCCATACGGTGCCCCGTCCCTGAGAAAGGAGGTCCTTTCTTAGAGGAATTGAGCCAGGAGGGGTTGTCGAGAGGGGCATGAGTTCTGAGAACCAGTTCCAATTGACAGTTCGCAAAGACCCGCCCCCTTTAGTTACTGTTGCTATGTCCGACAAGCCATGCCGCTCTCACGCCACACCATGTTCTCACGCAGTGAAAAATACATTGCGGAGCAGAGAGGACAAATGACAATGCTGACAGACGTGACAGACTATGTTACTTTGGATGTGAAACAAAGTCTTAAAGGTATAGCGGAGGATTTTCTTTTTCCGGGTGGGTAGTCTATACTATTGGTCCACCTAAGTGTCAATCATTCTGGTGATATGTTTACGTAAGGCCGTCGTACGTGCTCATCCCTGGGCTGGCACAAGTCATGCACCGCATAGACACGGTAAACATCTCAATTTGTCTAAAGTAGCCTTTTGACCAAATGATAAATGGGATCACCCTGAAATATTCTAAAACCTTGTGTGTTCATGTGTTCATATTCTAAAACCTTGTGTGTTTATTATTACACAAATGCAACAAGCTACTTCTCCATTACATATGCAACTATGTATAAAAATACCGTATTATTAACAATTAAACATATTAGGTTAAGGACCAACGTAATAGCACTGCTTATATGTTGCCATGTAACGTAATTGCGATTTGCAAAATAGTTTCCTCAGAACGTATTTCGTGTGATACAGGGTTGTACATACCATGTCTTGAGTCCTCGGTCACTCAATCGATCAGTATAATAAGTAAATAAAACACGGAAGGGCATTTGACATGTCTTTTTTATGAATGTTTTTGAGTTAGTTTATAATTTGCAACATAATTGTGTAAGGCGTAATAGTTCCCTCTCGGGAGCAAGAGTGTTGTGTTTGTCCATGTGCATTTTTTTTAAAAATTGGAGAGGGCGGGTCTTCTCTAAAATTAGGAAAGATCCTCCGCTATACCGTAAAACTTACACATTGTATTTAAACAAACAAACAAAAAAATCAATCATAGTGTCAGTTCTGGCAGGTCACTTCAGTCAAGATCGCATCAGCTGACTCTCAGCTGATTCACGTCTACCTATAGGAATACGATGCCCAGTGTTGCCAACTATTTTTAAATGAAAGTGGCTAACGTCTTCCCTAAAAGTCGCTAAATGTCGCTAGATGACGTCATACGTTAATTAGCATATTTGTGACACCATCGCGTCGTACTTGTGTTCCGCTTGCCTAAAGTGTTTTCTCTATAAATTAATGCTCAGCTCACATATTGTATTTAATATATTATAATATAAACGAATGTAAAATAAAGCTGATCTCATTTCCTATATGTTTTCGTCACACAAAACGAGTGATATATAGTGAATGACAAAAAAGTAATACAGCAAGCACAAGAAAAGAAAAGAAACTAATAAAAAACATTATTATTTAAAGAAAGCAGATAAGTGATAGGTCCGTGGGAAAACACTGCTCATTCACATCTGTCAGTGGCGTTCAACAGATGATCTGCTCCTCTCAGCCATTCACTAAACAGTAGATGTAGAGTGAATGAAAGCAAAGGGAGAAAAGCAAAAAGTCGGTGTCTGAAAAGTCGCTAAAAATAGCGACTCATTTGCGCGATTGTTTTGCAGTTTGTACGCGGATGAGAACATCTCCTGCTGTCTGTCTACAGCTGGGAGGGGCTGCTGTGCGAGGACTGGGCCACCTGTGAGTGATTTGGGACGGGACGGGACCCACGGCAGCACTCGCTGCTCGTTGAGATGAGGAAAAACGATATGTGATTTCACATCAGAGAGTCTCCAAAAGTCTCTAATAACACCAGAAAAAGTCGCTAGATTTGTCGCTATTTGCTTTTTTGAAAATTTGTCGCTAGGGGGGTCTGAATACTCACTAAATATAGCGACAATGTCGCTAAGTTGGCAACACTGACGATGCCTATCACTGTATACATATAGCAGCTCCTTCAGTATTATCAGCAGCCATCGCGTTTCTCAGGAGCTAATTACCCTCCTCCCGCCCCAGCTCCTCCTCTCGTCCGTCAAGATTTGGCATTCTGATTCCATTTGAAACAGGATAAATTCTCGAATTATGTTGTTCCTTAAAATCTGAATGAATGATATCTGCATACATTCATGTTGGTCCTGTTCTGTTTACCCTAAGGAGGATTATTGCAGCTTATTGCAATCCAAACTGTATGCTAATTGTTAATTGTATTTGTCGATGGTGGTCCAGACAGAAAAAACGCTTTGGGGCTCTTTAATGTGTCTGAAAGATCGCTGTAGAGCCTCAGATGAAGCTGCCCATGAACCAATCATCTTTTCCTTCTATTTAATTCATCGCATCAAATAAACATGAATGAACATCAGAAGGAATGTTGTTTTAACAGCGAAAGACATCAGTTTTTCCAACTCTGACAACTAACTCTCCTGAGTCCTGACTGCTTTGTTGGACAAAAATGGTGGATTTGGCGGATGGCAGACTATGATTGGTCAGATCGCCTGTCAGTCAAACTTCCTGCAAAGGGTCAATTGGGCCAACAAGGGGCAACAGACAAGATCTATTCCTCGACTTCCCTGTCTTTGCACAATGTCTGTGCGAGAAGGTTATCTGGAAAAAAATGCATGTAAAACAAGATGGTAGGCAACAAGTTGTGACATGCGGTGGGAGTGTAGACCACTTTGATGATCGATTACACTATAGTTGCAGTGCTATCCGTATGCACCAGTATGTGCTTGCCTAGTAGCGGCTTTCTGAGGTGGCCCAGCGCAAGACGTACTGCTAACAACTGCATTTCGGGATTTGGCCATGAAGCGGCATGCTGTTGCCATATGCCCCAGGAGCATCTGAAAACATTTTAGTGGGGCCGCTGTTCTGCTCTCGAGTGTATTCAAGCAGTTCAGCACTGACGGGACACGTTCCTCTATGAGGCGTGGCATCTGGCGTACCGAGTCCAGTTCCATACAGAGAAAAGAGATCCTCTGTGTGGGGGCCAGTTTGCTCTTTCCCAGTTGACCCGAAGTCCCAACTGGCTGAGGTGACTGAGCACCATGTCCCTGTGTTCACACAACTGGTATCAGCCAGTCATCAAAATAGTTGAGGATGCGATTACCACACTCTCTCATGGGAGCAATGGCCGCTTTTACTGGGAAACTCAAACACCTTCGTCATGCCAAAGAGGATGCTTACAGAAGTGGGGATAAAATCTTGTATAACCAGGCCAGAAACACATTGACAAAAATCAGAGTTGCTAAAAGAGGCTACTCTGAAAAGCTAAAAAACAGTTTTCAGCCAACGACCCGGCATCACGAATTTGCCGACGACACTATCATCGGTGATGAGGATCAGAAGGAACAGCCCAGCACTGAGCAGGTAAAATTATCACAGACTCCACTGACCCTGGACACCACCTACCGTCAAGACGGCCACAAAAACATCTCGGCACAGGAACAGCTTCTTCCCACAGGCCATTTCCTTCCTGAACAGTTAACTCACTTCCCAGTGCAATACTCCCACTGTTTAGTCCAATATCTTAAACTCAGGAGATATTCATATGTAGATAATCTATAATATTTAAATCACTGTAAATACGCTCAATCTGTAAATCTGTAATTTGCGTACTCTGACTATTTATTTTAATTATAATTTGTATTACTATGTTTCTTGTTGTAGTTGTATATGTGTACTGGAAGCCTCAGCACCAAAACAAATTCCTTGTGTGGCAATAAAGTTCTTTCTGATTCTTCAATCTTCGTAAATATGAGACAACATTTTTGTTCAAACCTTTTGAGAACATTATTAACCCTATGCATTGGACTCAGGGAACGGAAAGTTTTCTTAAGCCCTATATTCAGTAGCCTATATGTTTCTTTAAATGATTGCA